CGGATGGCTGTCGGGCGGTCTGTCGAGCTTCATGGCCATGTCGTCGTCCGCCGTCAGCGCGACCTCGGAGTCGACAATTCCGGGCTTAGATTCCAACCCGAATGCGGGCGCAAGCCTGTCCAACTCGGCATCCGAGGACCCCGCAGCCTCGTTCCTGCTCGACGGCTTCCCGCGCACTGCGGTCCAGGCTGAGCGGCTAGACGACATCGTGCCCATCAACTGGGTCGTGTCGCTCCAGACCCCATTTGACGTGGTCATGGAGCGCATATCGTCGCGGTGGGTGCACGAGCCGTCGGGCCGTGTCTACAATACCTCATTCAACGCGCCCAAGGAACACGGGCGCGACGACGTCACGGGCGAGCCGCTCGTGCAGCGCGCCGACGACAGCGAGGAAGTCTATCGCGCGCGCTTCCAGAAGTTCCGCGAGACCAGCGAGCCTTTACTCGAGCATTATGCCAAGAAAGGCGTGCTCTGGGAGGTCCATGGACTCAGCAGTGACGAGATAAGTCCCCAGTTGTTCGGGGAGTTCGAGAAGCGGTTCCTATGAAAAAGGCCATTCGCCGCGTGACACTTTGTTTCGCATTCAATCAGCATTTGAGCTGGGCGGGTTCGTCCAAAAGCAGGAGTTATGTATTGTATTTTAAGGAGTCACTGAAACGACATACGTCGATCGGGAGCCGGAAGTGCTCGTATAAACCCTACGCAATGACGACAATCTCGTCATATGCACGAGCTTGAATATGCTCGTGGGATGAATTATAGTTTGACGAATAGCTGATGCGGAATTACTTATTTACTCTTGAGCAAGCACATGACTGTATCCATCGAAATCCCGGCCACGCCCGCACCTATTATTCCTATACGATGTCCCGTGATCTTGCACCTACCACATCGCCCCGGACTTCAATATGAACTGCATTCTGACCGGCCAAATTCAATCCTGATTTGAATTCCTGAAGTCTATTATGTGCCAAGAGACTTTATACTGACTTCTCATCTCAACCATGCATAGAGTAGCCTACCCCCAACCGAGCCCGCCTCTGACCTCATATCCTGACATGACGTCGTCGAAACGGGTCAAGATTGGCGCAGCGTGCCGTCGAGGTGGCTGATTCGAAACGTACTACTGCTCCTACTAATGTACGCACGCACAGGCTTGACAGGCACAGGTTTCTTCAGGTAAGCAGCTGGGCACGAGATGGGGCTACCAATGAGATGCGCCCTGGGGAAAAACGCGGGGCAGCCAAGGTACTGTAACCTCAACCATCCCATCCCGTCCACTGATCAGCAAGGTGGACATCACCTGTCATCTGTCATGTAAGATCAAATTCAGATCTTGAGTAACGCTGCACTGGACCATTCATTTCCCATCAGCGTGCTTGTCTTTCCAGCAGTAGAGTTGGCATTGGCGTTGGTCGTATGCGAGTTTGCACCTTGCCTTGTGGTAAAGGTGTCAAGTTTGGAGAGTTTCATGTCTCGCAGCATCCTCGTCTTCACACGCATATAACCTGCTTGCGCCGGAATAATTTATAGTATTTGTCTCTTTCTCTCTCTCAATTTTCAGTCTTTCGGTCGTTTGCTATCGCTGTGTATGCGCGATGTCAGGTTTATGATAATCCTGGTGTTGCACGGTGAATCAATTTGATTGTTACTGATCCGATCGTGCGACGGTTTCCCGATCTACATTCGCCCTGAGATAGATTGCCATTTGCTGTACTTCTTCTACATCGCCAATTACTCTCGGAAATTGACTGCAATCCCCTCTTATTTTGGATATAATTTTGGATTCCAGTCGAGAATGGCTACAAGTATGAGTTTTAGCCCCAAAGCACTCGTTTGTACATTGTTCGCTTGGACGGCAGCAGCCACGACTGCACTCAACCTCCCAAATGACTGTCCCGTTTTCTTCGAGAACGAGAAAATATGCGAACCAACTGTGCCCGCGAGCTTCCTCCCTGAATCTGTGGAAAACGTCGCCAGGAACAGACCACCACAGATCGCGGACGACAGGGTATTCGCCGACCTTCTAGACGCGCTCAACGTCACACAGGCAGAATACTTCGCTCCGTGGCTAGGCACCTGGCCGGATTCCATCGACTGGACAGGCGCTGTGGTGGGCACGCATGTGTCGGGGGCGATCCGCAGCATCTCCGAAGACCTCTATTTCTTGCAGTCTAAGGGCGAAAACAGCGCTTCTGATTGGAAGCGGGCTGCGAACTTAATCGACGATTACTTCACGCAGATTGTTGGCTACTACTTCGGCCAAGACGCCTTCGCTATCAGAAACGAAGCTTACGATGATATCCTCTGGGTCGTTCTGGGCTGGCTCGAGACTGTCAAGTTCATTGACGCTCACAATGCCTTGCATTATACGATTACTGAAACAAATGCGTCAGAGACGGCGTCAGGGGGCTTGAACAGTATGATGACCATGATACCTGACCAGCCCTACCACGGCAACGTATGGATCCCAGCCTTCGCCCACCGCGCGCGCGTGTTCTGGGAAGTCGGCTCGCACGGCTGGGACACGAAGCTCTGCAACGGCGGCATGACCTGGAACCCGCGCCTCGAGCCGTACAAAAACGCCATCACCAACGAGCTGTACATCGCGGCGTCCATGGCCATGTACCTGTATTTCCCGGGCGACAACAACACGTCTCCGTTCTCGGACCGCAATCCCCGCATCAGCTCTGACCACAAACCCTACGAGCACAGTGCTAGCAGTCCTCGAAACGCGACATACCTAAAAGCAGCAGTAGAAGGCTACCGCTGGCTGCGCAACATCAACATGACCAACGACGCCGGATTATTCGTGGACGGCTTCCACATCAGCGGCTACAGCGACGAGCACAGCAATAACACGCGCTGCGATGCCCGCGCCGAAGGCGTCTACTCGTATAACCAGGGCGTCGTGCTCACGGGGCAGCGCGGGCTGTGGGACGCCACGGGCGCGGTGTCGTTTCTGGATGATGGGCACAGGCTTGTTCAGAAAGTTATTAATGCTACGGGGTACGATCTTGAGACTGATCGTCCTTTGGATGTCCTTAACGGCAACAGCACTTTGTTGCCTAAATGGCATGGACTTGGTAGGTTAGGTGTTATGGAAGACTCGCTTGATGCGAGTGGCACGGCGAGTCAGGATCTGCAGACTTTTAAGGGGATCTTCTTTCATCATCTTACGGCGTTTTGCGAACCTTTGGAAATGCCGCGGGAGGAGGACGAGGGGCTCAGGGTAGATATGCCCGCTTTTGAAGAGGTGAGGAAGAGGCATGCGGATGCATGTCGGGCGTATGGGGGGTGGTTGGGCCATAATGTCCATGCGGCGAGGGGGACGAGGGATGGGATGGGACGGTATGGGCAGTGGTGGACGGCGGGGTTGTTGATGGAGGGCGGGTGGGAGGGCCCTTGGCCGACGTTGGGGACGGATGGGGTTGATCGTGAGAGGGGGGGCGGGGCGGATTATAGGGATTATGGCGTTCCGGCTGAGGGGATGGGAGGGGGGGAGGTGGTTGGTGAGGGTGAGGGTGGGAGTGAGGCTTCGCATACACGATATAATTCACACCATAGTCAGGTCCTGCTTAGGGGGGATGATGGGACGGGGAAGGAGGAGAATGAGAGTGAGAAAGAGAAAGACCCGAATGATCGCGGCCGTGGACGTACGGTTGAAACACAGAGTGGTGGGTTGGCGCTGCTGAGGGCGTATTGGAAGATCGCGAGGATACCTTAGGATGGTGTGTGGCGATTCTTTCCTGGATTGGTGGATGTTTGTGTAGTAGGGGAATTAGAGACAGTCAATTGATAATACAGACACTTTTGCTTGGGCTTTTGTTGTTCAGAGTGTGCGAATAGGAGGCTGTACTGACCGTTTGTGTCAGGTGTCACGGTAGCAAGGGCATCACTATGACCTAGGAGCTCCGTAGCCAGGGCCTCATTATGACCTAGGGGCTCCCCTGTAGGGGCTATTTGGACTACTAGATCTGTGTATATAAGGACTGGGCGACTCCCACTCTATGGGAGAGCCCAGGAATCAATAGAATTGACACCTGACCCCTATACTTCTACTTCACTACTAGGCCACTGCTATATTCCTTCACTCTGGTGCAAAAGCACTTGACAGTTTGCTGAAGTGATAGGCTGTTGGCGATTCGCTGTGATGCTCATGTCAGGTAAAGCTTGCGGGAAACATTCGAGTTCATGTCAATGTGTTTGTGTTTTGTGTGTCTGTAGCTATGACAGGTAGGCAACTCCATAATCAATGAATCGCATGAATACTGAAGGCGACTGCACTTTGCAAGCTAAGGAGGTATGTATGCAACAACCCCTTTCCCCCCCTTTCCTCCCTGCTAACTTAGACAACACAACACGATGTATGCGCACTTCGCGGTAAATATGTAGAAGGGCAGACAGCTGCTGCATGTGGGCCCGTTTATTTCAATAAGAAGATACATAATTCTGAATAGTCTTTCTCAGCGTTAGAGCAAGCATGAGGTACCTAGCTTTGGAGTCATGTAGGGTGGTTATTGACACAACTCAACAACGTCAGGACAGGGGACGTTGAAGATACCCATGATCAATGTTTCTTCTCACTGCTCCTCTAAGATCGCCTCAGAAATAAAGCCCCAATAGTGAACTCTGCTACTGGAAGGTTAGGCACTACATGATGTCGGCTTATCTCCCCCATCACTTCCCACGAATACACCATCACTATTTATTGTATGCCTACCTCCCTAGGCTAAGCCGAGCATTCTAGTTTACTGCTCCGACTCACCAATAATGTAATTATCAAGTCCGAACCTCGTTTTCAGTATTTACACACACGGCTCGCCTTAGCCTACTAATCTATACTCATAACATCTAGGTATGTAGCTGACATTGGCTAAATTTACAGGACAGACGAAGATGGGATTAGTGGAATATGCCACTTCTCCCTGATTGTATTAGGATATAATTATGAAGTAGATCTAGTTCACAAGCGTAAAAAAAACGAAAATTGACGTGAGGGCCTCGTGGCCCAATGGCAAGGCGTCTGACTACGATTCAACAATGAATGTGATTATCAGGAGATTCTGGGTTCGACCCCCAGCGAGGTCAAATTTTTATGCTGCACATATCGAGTCACCGACTGGCATTTTTCTCTGTCTCGCCCTGTTGTTGTTGATTTGTCGCACTTAATCAAATTTTTTTTACTCCTTTATGCGGGGTCGCTACCCTGTAAAAGTAGTAGATGTAGTAGTAGTGGTAGTCAAGAGTTATGCTCTGGTTACGACAACTTCGGCTGAACAACGAATGGATACAGCAACTGCAAACGTAAGAGCGTTGTTGCATTTGACTGGGTAAGTACAGTCTTATGTAGATCAGGAATGGGAGGGAGATTCAGTGCTGGTCTTAGGTGCCATTGGATTTTGGAACATGTTGAGGTACGTAGCACCACCTCCTATTAAAGAAAACCTAGTGTATCAAGTATAATTGGTACATTGCCGATTTACCTGGTACTATCATACAGTTTGACGTCCTGCCCTTAATCGCATGTCTACATGCCCCCTAGACTCTTGACTCCCATACGCCTTCTCTTGCCCTAGTAAATAAGAAAATTTGATCTTTGCCGCAATGCGGATGCAGACTAGCAATGAAAATGAGTCGTTGAAAGACCTTGTAGTAAAATGTGGTAGTATCGAGGGGATATTTGAGTTTTCAGAATCTGGAAGCGACATATCGCATCCCTGACATCAAGGGACATTACAACTCCTAGTCTCTCCATGCGTTCTCGTTGTTCACGCCATGGGGTACATTGTTCTTGCGAGAGGCGGTGTTCGATCCTGATGGAGCAGCGTCGCTATCGTCGCTATCGTCGTCGTCATCGTCATCGTCATCAGAGCCAAGCTCCAGCTCATCAGGATCCTTCATCTTGGCATCTGGGTCGACGGAGCCAGAAATATCATCATCATGGCGGCGCTCATGCTCAATGGTGGTGTCGTCGGCGCTGATAGAGATACCGCGGGCACCCCACTTCGATCTCCTCTGAGACGAGGCATTGCCGTTGTCGTCGCCATGAAGAGCTGGGGCGCTCTCCTCGTCTTCCTGATCGTGTGCGAAGTGCTTGTTGCCGAAGATGCGGTTAAGAAGCCAGCCCCGTCGGATGTCATCGGCGTCGACGATGCCGCCGTACCTCAGCTTGACCCGTTGGCGCGTGTAGTACACCCAGAAGAAGTCAAAGTAGAGGGCAGTCTGGATGATGCCGAAGATGACAGATACGGCGTTCGGCTTCCTGTCGTTGGGGTCAAGCTCTCTCCAGATCCAGTTGAGGCAGTAGAGCGCGCGGTATGACCCCAGGGATATGAGGTAGAACGAGTCGATGACGGTCGGGACATTCGTCTGTCGAAGGAGCAGGAGCTGGGGTAAGACGCAGATCGATTCGAGGATCTGCGAGAAATCCCAAACCCACTGGAAAACGAAATTAGCCGCGGTCTCAGTATGTGTTTGGGAATTAATAGAATGCGAACCGTAAAGAAGGACCACTGGTTCTTGCCCTCAAAGATGAGCATCACAAAAGGCGCAAGGAGCAGCGAGCCCGCCAGAATAGCGGCCCCCAACTTCCAGGCAACCTCCTTCTCCCGCGTCCGAGGGAACAGCCAGCGCATGATGGCGATGATGTAGATGGAGGAGAGGATATAGAACGCCTTGAAGAAGACATTCCATGCCGAGGTCTCGGTGAAGATGTCGGTGTATCTCGAGCAAAAGACGGCTGCATATAGGACCTGTGTGATCCATGACACGCCTGGGTATGTATGTTAGCTCTCGCGATGCGCCGAGGGTCGAGGTCCGCTGGAGTGTATAAACCCACCTTCAGCACTGCGGTTGCGGTGGATGGCATGTATCAAAATCACTTTGGACAGGAGGTGGGATACATCTCCCAAGATGCGAAAGATCTATCATCTCGAGTCAGCACGGAGGATGCATGGGAAGAGAGGATGGTCCGATGGGGGGTTGCGCACATTCCAGCCCATCTTATCGAGGAGCTGCAAGCTGGTGCAGCTATCGCGATTCGATACTGTTCTTGAGGCGGCCTATATCAACAATGGCGAGGAGGACTTGGTGAACATGTCAAAGATGGCGCGGTAAATCACAGCATGTGGTAATGACAACGAGACTGTCACAAGCTGTCGGTTGTAGTCTAAATGGTTGCCTACTGAGAAGTGGCTCGGAGTGGCAGGGAAGTGGTGGTTTCAGACTGAGGTCATTGGAAGAGCTGCGCGGGAAGCTCCAGATCGCATTACGTGGATGGAGTCGATGGACGGGCCACTGGCGAGACTGGGGACTGCATCGCGGACGCGGACGTGCGCAAAGGGGGTCTTTGGGGGGCTCTAGCCTTTATTCGGCAGCCTAAGTATGGGGAAGTATTGAGATTCCCGCCAGCTAAGTGATCGGAGCTAAGCCTGAAGTGGTAGCACTCGGACGGACCCTTGCGACCTCGGGAGGTAGTTGTGGCTAATGTAGGTGGCTAGTGCACTCCCAAATTCATGAGCCACAACTCTGGTGGGATGAGCTTGGCGCGTCTATTAACGCGTCTTGCTATCTCGAGGTATCAACGAAACAGCAGAGCACATTACGTCAATTTCCCGATCGTGAGCGATGAATACCTCAATGGTACTGCATGATACCAAGTAGAATCCTCTGCTTTCCTCGCTGCTATGGCTATGGCTACCAGTAAGTCCGGAATCGACATCGTACTTCATGTTTCGACAATCGCTAACCAACCCACCATGACCAGGCCGAGAGGAGCGCATGCAGCAGCGCATGCGAGGAGCCGGGTAAGTCACGACAGACTGTTATTTCTCTGCGATGCCGAGCTCTAACACATCCTTCACAGACGCCATGAAGTTGCCGACGACTCCTTTGGTTTCGTGCTGCCCGGAGCCGAGCCCGATCCCGGTCCATCTCCCTCCTTGCCTCACATACGATCGGAGCCTAATACGTCCGCGAAGCGAAGGCGACTGAACGATGAGCCCGTATCCTCAAGCTCCCAACCATCCAGCGCCTCAAGGTCATCGGCCCGACTCAGCAGTGGTCAGAAGCCCACCCCGGCCAATGCGGTCCAACAGGATGTGGTGATGCGCGATGGAGACTCTCCACCCACCACTACAAGACGAATCTCAGCTCGCTTGAATATCCTGAACTTAAGCAAGGCCGGTACGCCCCAGGCTACTGGCGCCAATAGCAGTCATCATGACTTGCCCGCCAATGGAGCAACAGAGGGGGAGGGGGAGCCCATGGACATGGACCTCGGGGACGACGAACAACAACGGGAACCCACACCACGACGGACCTCGCAAGGGTCAGCAGCATCGAAACTGTCTCAGGTTTCCATGATGGACTACGAGGAAGAGGTCACAGAGAGTCCAGTCGCAGCGCCTGGAAGTGGCCGTCGGCGTCTTGTCGAGCCGATAGATGCGCTCACCCAGAGCACAAGGCTGCAAAGAGCTGTCATGGCGCAAGAAGAAGCAGGGGCTAATGGTGAGCCCGCAACATCTTCACCGTTGGCACGGAAAACACGGCAGAGCATGACGACAGTGGGCAGCCTATCCGCAAGGGCTACAAGAACGAGCACGAGGCGCACGCCGTCATCCCCGCGCGAGGAAACCCACGAATCACCATCACCACCGCCCTCCAGCCATTCTCACAAAAGTGATGCCACCGCAGTGCCGAGCTCAACCCGCTCCGCACGGTCTATGCAGAGTCAAGATGATCAGAGAACTCCCACAGCTCTTATACACGATGGAGAGGAAATCTCCTCATCCCCTGATGCTGCGGGTACTGTAAGTCCCAAGAAGCCTATGCCAAGGGACAAGCCGGCAGCCATCCGTGCATCGCCTTATGATATCAGCCTGAGCGATGATGAACAACAAATCGAGAAAACAAACGAGACAGTAATTGAGCCCGAAACAGTACTGGAAATCGAGCCGGAGATCGAACCCGATGTTGTGCTAGACATTGCGCCAGAGGCTGTACCAGATGCTGTACCGGAAGTCGAAGCGGAGGTTGAAGCAGAGGTAGAGGCGGAAGGGGATGTCGATGCCGATGACGAACAAGCAGAGGAAATCGACGACCACGAAATAGCCCTTCGGATCGGTCGTAAAAGACCTCGACGCAGCCCTCGGCAGACACGATCGCCCGTTGATGCAGAGCAAGTAGACTCACCAATAGCCTCGCTAGAACCACCGTCCAAGAAGCGACGCCAGAAGCAGACTCCCGTGAGCCCGGTCAAGCAAGCACAACCTAAGCCTGTCAAGGAGAAAAAGAAGCAGAAGAGAAAGAAACCTGTGATACGGAGCACTGACGGCAAATCATATTCTTCGGTCACGGTCCAGCGATACACGAAGCCGCTGCGGCGGAATGAGAACGATACTAATGAGGACATTCTCAACGCCGATATGAGCTTCACCGACCACAAGTCTCCCAATGTGGTGGATGTCTTGCTACAGAACTGCGAGGAGAATCTGGATAAGTTCCTTTCGAAATATTACGAGAAAGCGAACCAAGCGGCCGATGCAGCAAGTAGGAAGAAATTTAAGGTCCAGCTCAGAACTGTCGAGGCTTTCCAGGAAGAGTTACGGACTCGTCTACAGGCACATGTACGCATTTCCTCCCATTTGCTACGGCATTGATAAACCAACACTAACGGAAACCAGACCATCCAACTGGATAACCTGCGCACGCTTAAGAAGCGAGTGAAGGCTACGCAAAAGGAGAAAGTGTCTCTTCGTAACGAGATCCTGAGGATTCGAGCTGAGAAGGAGCAAGTGGGCCTCAAGATCGATGCTGTTAGGATGCGCCACGAGACAGCGAACAAAGAGTCGTTGGTAAGTCTTTTAGTGTTAGACTTAGCTTATGATTACTCGCTGACATGACTTTATTAGCAACAATTGGATCTATCGTCTGCTATGGATGACATCGAACTGGCTGTCGACAACGGCAGGGCGGCACCCGAACTCAGCAACCCCAAGGAGCAGAAGAAGGCGGAGCTAGCGAACCTCGACCTCCTCATCTCCCAGATCACGAACCAAGTGAGTGGTGCGGGTGATGGGGGCGGGGCG